TGGATTAAACACAAGCTGGACTCAAGATTGCCAGGAGAAAGATCAATAACCTCAGAAATGAAAATGACACCACCCTTATGGCAGAAAGTGGAGAGGAACTAAAGAGCCTTTTGATGAAGGTGAAAGAGGAGAGTGAAAAAGTTGGCCTAAAACTCAACATTCAAAAAATGAAGATCATGGCCCATCACTTCATGGCAAATAGATGAGGAAACAATGGAAACAGTGACAGACTTTATTTTCTTGGGCTCCAAAATCACTGAAGATGGTGACTGCAGCCATGAATTAAAAGACACTTGCTCCTTGGAAGAAAAGCTATGACCAACCTAGACACTGTATTAAAAAGAAGAGACATTACTTTGCCAACAAAGGTCCATATGGTCAAAGTTATGGTTTTTCCAGGAGTCATGTATGTATGTGAGAGTTGGACCATAAAGAAGGCTGAGTGTTGAAGAATTGATGCTTTTGAACTGTGGTGTTGGAGAAGACTCTTGAGAGTCCCTTGGACTGCTAGGAGATCCAACCAGTCCATCCTAAAGGAAATCAGTCCTGAATATTCATTGAAAGCACTGATGCTGAAGCTGAAGATCTAATACTTTGGCCACCTGATGGGAAGAACTGACTCATTAGAAAAGACCCTGATGCTGGGAAAGATTGAAGGCAGGAAAAGAAGGGGACGACAGAGGATAAGATGGTTAGATGGCATCACTGACTCAATGGACATGAGTGTCCAGGAGGTGGGGAAGGACAGGGAGGTCACAAAGAGTTGGACACAGCTGAGTGATTGAACAATAACAACAGCAAAAGATAAAAGGCAGTATTTGCTCTAAAAAATGAAGAAATAAAAAATAAACCAAAAAAAAAAAACTTTCCTATCTAGTTTCAGAGATGTCATAGACATAAAGGCAAAGGTAATACAAGGGAGTATGTGGTAAGACCAGAGAGGTGTGGGAGGTCTGTAGGGGCAGAGATTATGACTAGAGGAGCTCTGATGAGGGGGCGAAACAAGGGGGACCTTCAGGAAGGAAGGATGAGGGTTGGGTAAGTGATGAGACGTGAAGGGACACTAGCAAGGTCCTTGAAGGAACAAGTTACAGACACAAAACATGGGCCATGTTTAGAAGGCAGTGTAGAGAACAAGTAGGCTATAGTGACAGGTACAAGTAGCAGAGACAGAGAGTGGGGGGATTAATGGTCACATCCTGGAATCACCAATGTACATGAACTTGGGTAAACTTCAGGAGATAGGGGGGGACAGAGAGGCCTGAGGTGCTGCAGTCCATGGGATCGAAAAGAGTCGGATGCAACTGGGGGACTGAACAACACCACATCATGGAGGGGGTTCCACACTTGATTAAAAACTCTGATTTTATCTGACAGCACAGTAGTGATGTACTGTCATGCTCTCATGCTCTCTCGTGCTCTGGATTCAGACAAAACTTTGAATCCCAGCTCCTCCCTTTAAGTTGCCAAATAACCTTAGGTACCTTAATTACTGTTCTTTCTTTACTTTTTCTCTTTCTTCCTTCCTTCTTCCTTGGCTTCACTTTTCTTTAAACTTTTCATTATGAAAAATTTCAAAGATACATAAAGACAACTGTGCAAAACATCCCAGTTACCTATCAAGCCCTTTCAATAACCATCAACATCTGACCTCCCTGGTTTCATTGGTATCCTTCCCACTCCCTCTCCACCGCCCTCCTTACAGACAGCAATAGGCTTGATGTGATTAAGTACCTGGAGAAACTGTGTATGCTGCACCTGTTTAAGGTGGGGGGAGCTAGGAAAGGATACCCGAGGAAGTATATGAAAGCAGCATTGCCCTTAAGTGAGAGATACTGAGGGTCCAATCTGGGTTCCGTGCTTTAAAGAACCTGCTCCCAGCCTCCTCTGGCTAATTCCTTAACCACATAGAAAGGGGAGCCAAGGAAATGTGCCCTCCCCCAGGCAGAGCCCGTGCCTTGCCCTGGTACCAGACCCCCAGAATTCCCTTTCTAAATGGCTTGAGGTCACCTCTGCTCTACCCCCCGTATATGTGTCATAGATCCTGGAGTTGGGCAAGATGGCTGGTTGAGAGGTGGAGGTGTGCAGAGATAGGACCTGGGCTGAGTCCACACAGGGAGTCCCCTCACTCAGCATACTGATTAGGAAAGGAGAGGCAGAAAGAAAGGGTCCCCCCAGCCTTGTTTCTGCAAACCGAGAGCTCCTACCCAGAGATCCATTCTTACCCCAACACCCCAGAAACATTAACGGCAGGCTTCTGAAAGTGAGGGACATCTACAGTTTTTCTCAGAGTTCTTGAATTTAAATTTATGCCACTGACGCCTTTTGTCAGGTCATCTCCCTGGACTGCCATTGAGCCAGATGAGCAGTGTCTGAGTCCCTGGGAGAATGGAATAAATGTCACATGGGAAACAATGAAGCTGCCCAATTCAGCTGTCATCAGAACAGGTTTGCATTGAAACAGGAGGTCAGAGCAGACCCATGTTTCTTTGGTGAGCAGATCTTTTCAAGGGTTTTCTCTATCAGAGAGTTAAAGCCCTATAGTATTAAAAAAGAAAAAAGAAAAACACCCGTGGATGCCTCTGTACAAAACAGAATTATTGTTTAAGCACATATTTCATTTTGGAAGCAAGAAAGCATTAGGAGTAATACCTATTACATCCTAGAATTTAGCCATTAAAGTGCAAGGATGGGTGGGTGGGGAGTGTGCTATATGTCTTAATAGGCATATACCTAAAGAAAAAAAGTAGAAAAAGCGAAGCAGGACAGCCCACAACAGCAATTAGGACTTTTCATTCCTGAGTGGATAATATGTAGTTTCATTTAAACAGGAACACAATCTTCATTAACTTAATTTGTAAAAGCAGTAACTCCAACTCCCAGCTCTTGCCTGAGTAAGGCATTTTTAGACACATCATTTCTAATTCTAAATTAAAAATGAATCAGTCCTGTGGAGCTAATTACCAGTAAATACAACCTGAAGTAGGTCTCCCACATGGCACTGAGCCAGCAAAGGTGGTTCTGTGTTAGCCAGAAATACTGCAAGATATTGAATACTTGATAAAGCTAAGTTTATGTGCTTGTCAACTGTTTGCAGGAATAGCGGGGAAAATCATTTGTAGCATCCACCACAAGAAACAAGGATAAAGGCCTAATTAAAAGAAGACCTTTTGATAAGGAACTTAGACAAGTGTCCCCCAGCCCCCTCCCCACAAAAAAGTAAAATTCAGTTCTCTGTTGTTGCAGCCTTTCCCCCAAATCAGTTACACTTACAGAAAGGAAATTATACCTATTTCTTTTCAATGCTGGCATAGGTATCCTATTTAGTTATAAAAGATAGAAATAAATTTTGAAACTAAATGTAGAATCAAATAAAGCCAGAACAAAGAAGTCGCTTTTATCACCAGTGCTTTGGGATACAGAATCATCCGTTACAGTGTTCTCAAAGAGATATTCAAGAAAACCAGAGACAGAAGAAAAAAACAGAGGAATAGTTGTCTAAACTTTAATATTGAAATCAAGAAAAATGGGAGCAGATGAAACCTTAGTAAGAGAGAAATGGTGCATGCACAAAGGGATTCGATTAATAAAATGACTTAACTACTGGTGATGAACACATCTGTTTTGTTTTTCTGCAAACATGTCAAAGTTTTCTGCCACTCCCATAATTATTCAAATGTACAAGTGTTCCCACTCTGCTGTCTTACAAACGTCCAGGAGGCCAACAATTTGGTTCCTGAATTACACAGTCGAGGCTGTTCAGCCCCAGCCTGGATGTAGTGAGCAGCAGTCAGAATGTTGGTAACTGATTATTTTACTACTTTTCTCTCATTTTAATGTTATAGTGATTTCACACAGTTTTGCATTTCAAATATTGAACATCCCTAAATAAATTTACTAAAAGAGATGAAAATGGCAAGCCTCAAATTATACATTTTAGAACAGATTCCCACTTGAACTGTTCCTTTTTATAACTGAGTTCATTATACCTTCTTTAACATATACGATATCAATGTTAAGTGTCATGGTAATACATATGAACTACATTAAAAAATTGTTACTTTCTAATGTGTGGCTTGTCTAAACCCTAAAAGAGCACAGGTGGCTTTGCAGAGTGGTTCATTTGCAAGATAAAGCCCACCTGGGAGTTTTCTCATAAATTGGGTCAAGACAAGAATTCTTGGTAGCCAGAGGTGTCTCTATGTCACTTTTCATATAACTGATGGCTGCTTCTTCTGGTGTCCGGAAGAAGTACAATGTCCTTGTCCAATGAGTATTGCTTTAGTATACCACATGCTCAGTCAGTTCTAGCATCTAGGAGCATGCAATAGAGGTTAATATTAGCTATGCAATCATGGTGTTATTCGTGTTTAATTAAATCATGTGCATTGAGATATTTTAAATGTTAAAGAGAAAACAGAAGGACTTATATTCTCCTTAGCAACCATTATAGTACAGAAATTTCACAGCTGCAATCACACTCACAAGGCAGGTAAATTGATGACAAAATGGGGGTAACAACAAATGTGCATGCCATAGAAAACCTGACACTGGTGCCTAAAATAGATAGCGCCCTTACTTTTTTTCAACATTCCATAGCTGGCTCAGACCATCAATCAACACAATGGAAACCTGTCACTTTAACACTTAATGTCAATTTTCAGTCTTAGAAGTGCAAAGGGGAATGTAAAATAATAAATCTGAGAGTTTCCCTCCTCACTGGCTAAGATTCTGTCTCATCCGGGAATGATTTTACTTTATAAAAACCCTTTTACAAAGGGCCTGAGGTCTTAATGGCAACTTACTGGTGTGCACATCTGTGGCTTCATTCTTCAGGTCAATACAGAAAGACTAAATTGTAACAGAAGCATCATTAAAGATAGGTTACTTCCTAAAATGCTTTATAAATATTATTTCCTTCATCAATATTATTCCCTTTGGCTTATGCACACTCAAGGCGCTTTATATACATCATAAGACGATGAAGGTGGGAATGGTGATCAAGGTAACAAAGCTGTTTTTCCAAAACTGTTAAAAGAAAGGAACCGGTTCTTTCGAAAAGTCAGTGTGCAAGTTCCTGAAGTTTCCGGTGTTCTGACTGTAGGATTTCCCTAAAACACGGAAACAAAGGGTAAAAATCAGGTGGCCGTCGAAAATGACTTCGCGGCCCACATGTACACTGAAACCTCGGTTCAGGTATCCCACTGGGGTCGAAGGCGAAATCTTCGCACCGATTTATTATTGAGCTTCGCCCGCCGGAGTCTTCGTTCAGGCTGGGGATACTTTCCAAGGGCAGGAGGCGGTGGTGACCAAGGCCGTTGGAAGGCGGGCATCTCCGCTTCCCGCGCGCCCTGCCCGGGTCACCAGTGCTGGCCGGCGGCGCGAGTGCCCAGCTGAGCTTGGGACACCGCGGGCACGGCCGTGGCGGCGGCAGCAGCGGCCGCCGCGTCGCCGACACCAGGCAGGACCGAGCGCACGGAGCGGCGGAACTCCTCGTTCCTCCACGTGTAGAGCAGCGGGTTGAGCGCCGACAGGGCGCAGCACAGAAGCCAGCTGGCCGCCTGCACGCCCCAGGGCACGGGCAGCGAGAAGCCGCTGGCCAGGCTCACCCACACCAGCGGCTGCGTGGCCAGCAGGAAGACGCAGCAGAGCAGCAGCACCGACAGGCCGCTGAGACGCCGCTGCGCCCGCCGCGGGTGCAACGCCGCGGGCAGGGGCGGAGCCTGCGCCGGGAGCTGGGCACCAGCCGGGCCCGGCGCGCGCGGGGCGCCCGGGAAGGCGGCGGCGGCGGCGGCGCAGCCGGGCAGCTGGTGCAGCAGGTGGAAGTTGAGGACGCTGACGCGCTTGACGCTGACGCGCACGCGGCGCACGATGCCCAGGTAGCAGTGAAGCAGCAGCGCCGTCTGCGCCAGCAGCGCCCCGGCGGCCAGCAGCGCCGGGTAGTGGACGCGCGGGGGCGCGGCGCCGGGACGCGGCGCCCAGGGCGGGAGCAGCAGCACGAGGCCCAGGGCCAGCGCCCAGGACAGCGCCAGCATGCCCGCCGTGTGGCGCCGCTGGTACAGCGCCTGGTAGGTGGCGGGCGCCCGGGTGATGAGCAGGTAGCGGTTCAGAGCCACCAGGCAGTGGGACAAGAGGGACACGGTGAGCCCGAGGCCCAGCAGCCCGCCCCGCAGCAGGCGGTAGCTGCCCCCAGCGCCGTCCCAATCCCCGGGCGGCTCCGCGGAGCCCGCGGGCAGGAGCCCGAGCACCGCCTCCTGCGGCATCCAGAGGGCGCAGACGCTGAGGTCGGCGGCGCAGCCGTTCACGATGAAGGCGTTGCTGGTCGTCTGAAGCTTTCGGAAGGACGACACGAGATAGATGACCATGCCGTTGGCCAGCGTGCCCCCGATGGCCAGGCCCGAGTACAGGAGGGACACGGGGATGCGTCGGCCCGCCCACGACTCCTCTTCCTCACAGAGCAGCAGCAGCGATCCCCCGGTGGTGGAGGAGGTGGACGTGGAAGAGTTGGTCATTCTGGCCAACTCTTCACACCTCGCTGGCTAGCGTCGGTTTCTCGCAGCGCGGCCCATCCTGATGCCCTCCTGCAGGGAGGGCAGAGACCTCCCTTCAGCCCTCTGCCACCGACACAAAAGGCTGTGGCAGAATAATGGGCTGGGGAAGGGGGTAGAGGGAGCTCGAGGAGAACGGGGGTGGCAAATGACAAGTGCCTGCCTCGAAAATGTCTCCAGTGCCGGAGAAGGGCCTCTTTGCACTCAGCAAGCACCAGGGAAGCCTTGGGACAGAACAACACACTCCCTGTCCCTCAATCGCCCCTTCTACCCCTAAATACACACATAGATACACACGTGGGAATGGCAGATGGAGCCCCTAGTTTCCAGGAGAAAGCAGAGATATGCCACCTGGGGGAAATGCCAGAGGGAAAGGAGTTGGGGGTATCTTACTTTCTAGCTGGTCCTTAGCTGGCCGGTAGCAGAGGGAGGAAAGCCAACGAATACCTCCTCAGCGGCAGCATCTGTGGTCCTGCAATCAACAGGAGAAACTCAACTGGGATCAGTGCCAGGAGCAAGTGCCTCCTTCCCAGTGCAGCATCCACACATGGCCCTAGGCAGAAGCCAGCAGCTGCAGGGAGACTCCTCAGCTGGCAGCAGGGCTGGAGAAAGTAAAGTGGCAGGCTGCAAGCCGGGGCGGATGGGCAGGTAGGCAGGCAGCAGCAGCAGGAAGGGTGCTTGGCTGCAAAAGCAGAAGCTGAGCTCAAGAGGAGAGCACCCCCGTGCTCAGAAGCTAGAGTGGTGGCTGATGCGGTGAACCCACTCGAAGCTCTCTCCTGCTCAGTTATACATCACCCAGGGAAAAGGCAGCCTTTCCATGCCGGTATGAATTATTCAATAGCTTCTAACTTGTGAAAGGGAAGAAAAATATCTTGCTCAGAAAGTCCTGTAATTAACAAGTTTCTCTGTCTTTTCTGTCTCTCAATCGCCCTATTTTTCACCTTGCTTCATTTTTCTTTCCTTTTTTTCCCCCCTTCCATCAATGCTTGAATAAAATGTAATATACCCCCAATGTATTTCATCTTAGTCTGATGCATCCTGAGGATGAGATTTTTCTGAGAGATAAATATACTCCTAAGACCCAGGGCTGATCTTTCCATCCCACATTTTCAGAGAGGATTACTTTATGTCCTAATTGAAATTCACTTTTTCTTTGGTAAGGTGGGATATGGGTTGTATATACAGAAAATCCTCAAGTCTTAATTGCAATCAAAATTTCAGTTTTCTTTCTCATCACCAAACTCCTTTCTAGAGTGTGGCTTCTGTTTCAGTAATGAAATAGAGGGTAAAAATGAAATGGTCAGAAGATTGCATACCAGTGGGTTTCTGGGGAAAAGCAAGGGGCTTGAATGATCCACACTATAAAGAACAGAGTGCTCTGTTTTTACTGCAGAATTTTTGATCCTGTGGTCTTAGACAGAGATTTGCAGTCTGATGTTGGAATCTTCCACAAGCGAAATTTTTCATAAAAGTCATCACCCTTCAGAAATCATTTTTCACTGGGGAAGTCATTTATTTGAAAATCTAACTCGGAAACATGGCATAATAGAAAAAAATGCTAGGTGGGCTTTCAGGACACTTGGGTTCTAAGCTGGACATCTACCAAATGCCCTTGTGATGGATTGTTTTCATCTTGTCAAATAAAGAGTTTCACTCGGTGACTTCCAAGGCCCTTTCTGTTCGAACTTTCTCTGAATACCCATGCATAAATTTGACATATCTCCACCCTCCTCTGACACTTGAAATATACCTACTCTGTCTAACATGTAACGTAGTCTCAGGTCACGTGGCAGGAGTTTTTTCCAGTCTGTTCCTCAGGGTGCCTGTTCAGGATGAAGCACAAAATGCCCCTCCTCTGCTTCCCTGTCTGTCCTTCAAAAACTGTTAATGACTACTAACTCATTAATAGTTAATAGTCTATTAACTGTAGTCTATTGACTATTAACCCCACTAATATGGGGATAGGATTAAGCAGGACCTAATGAATTTAGTCCATTTAGGTGATATCTAAATGGAATTAGTTGAGTTGGGGGATTTTTTGCCAGTGTCTTTTATCTGTTGTTATTTGTCTTAAGGCTTTCAGTACAGCAAAGGCAATGAGCCTGCAAGAGAGCCCTCTAATCATTCATAGTTAAAACTTGTTGAAATAAAAATTTCCTCTCACATCAGGGGGATTCAGAGTCCAGGTTCTTGGTCCCAGTTGTTGCTGCCTTACATGGGAGTGAGTGAGTGAAATCTCTGGTGGAGGACTCAGGTGTCTTGCAATCACATACACTTCTGCCAAGACCCTGCCTATTTAGCCCTGGCCTGGCAGGAGCCCAGTTTTTGTTTGGGGTTTGTTTTTGTTTTAAGCTACTGAACTTACATGATATAGGGTAGGAAATTTTTCTGTCATTTCCAGCATCAGAACAGTATTCAGTTAGAATTAATATACTTGTTATTGAATCAACAAATGGACGAGTGTTTGTTATTGTTGTTTAATCACTAAGTCGTGTCTGGCGTTTTTGTGACCCCGTGGACTGTAGCCCATCAGGCTCCTTTGTCCATGGGAGTTCCCAGGCTAGAATACTGGAATGGGTTGCCATTTCCTTCTCCAGGAGATCTTCACAACCCAGGGATGGAACCCTCATCTCCTGCATTGGCAGGTAGATTCTTAACCAGTGAGCCACCAGGGAAGCCCATAAATGAATATATAAATGATTTCATTTGTTTTTTTCCATGGTGAAACAGTCAATAGTTTTCATTAGACACTATTTCCTCCTACCCCTGCAGCAACTTGCTCTGTGAACTACCCCGTCTGATGAATCTTCAGTCTACCCTCCACCGCTTGCTTTCCATTGGCCTTATGAAAATGTCTATTTCATTACAAGTAGGTCTTCTGTGGTAGCTCAGTTGGTAAAGAATCGGCCTGAAGTACAGGAAACCCAGGTTCAATCCCTGGGTCAGGAAGATCCCCTGGAGAAGGAAATGGCAAGCCACTCCAGTATTCTTCCCTAGAAAATCCCATGGACAGAGGAGCCTGGTGGGCTACAGTCCATAAGGTTGCAAGAGTCAGACACGACTTAGCAACTAAACCACCAAAGTTTCCTTGCACTTCACCTCCTTCTCAGGGTGCCTACACAGCTCACACTCCTGACAAAACTGCTGTCTTTCTGCTCCTACTTCCTCACTACTTCTGCCTCTACATTCCCATTGAATGCCTGCGCCATGCTGCTTTTGGCTATCACCACTGAGACACTTTCTAACTGGCCAAAGATCTGCCCAGATATAAAGCTGCCTACGGACATCCCCACGTCGGTGCTCTATGGGCATCTGAAACCCCAAATCTCCAAAACTGATCCCCTCCTCCTCTCCAAATTGGTTTCTTCTCCTGTGTTCTATCTAAATCTCAGTGACCAGCATCACCAGTATCCCAGTACCTCAGAATCCTAGCTATCACCCTTGATTCCTATTTTCCATCTTAGTCCCAATATCCATTAATCACCAAGTGCCATTATTCTACTAGGTTAATCATTTTTCACTCTTTTCACTAATCTTTATTCACTCTTCCACTACCTGGCATCAGACAACCATCATCTCTTCTTTGTGTGTATGTGTGCTCAATCGTGTCCAGCTCTTTGAGACCCCATGGACCCCACCAGGCTCCTCTGTCCATGGAATTTTCCAGACAAGAATACTGGAGTGGGTTGGCATTTCCTTCTCCAGGAGATCTTCCAGATCCAGGGATCGAACCCAAGTCCCTTGTGTCTCCTGCATTGGCAGCTGGATTCTTTGCTGCTGCGCCACATGGGAAGCCCATCTCTTCTTTGAATTATCCCAACAAGCTCCTGACTCTAGTGCAACCTTACCTCCCTCCAGCTAGTATGATCTTTCTAAAACCAAATCCCATCACTTGAATCTTAAAGATAAAATAGTTATTTTTATCTATTCCCCCCCGACTCTAATATACATTCATTGGAAATAGGAGCTTTATTTTGTTCACCACTATTATTGGCAGTTCCCAGAACAATGCCAAGCACAGAGTAGTCCCTTAGTCAATATTTGTAGAAAAAATAGTAAGCAAATGTCATATTCTGCTTTAAGTCATTTACTAGGTCCATGTTGCCCTCAAGGGAATTGTTCAGTATCATCATTGCTAATGATGCACACATACCACGTGTACCATTGTCTTGAGTATTTTTCATGTCTTCTTTTATTTAGTCTTCATGCCAGGCCAACACGGTAACCAGGCTTGGGCTTAAATTTGCAGGCCAAGGAGTCCAGCTAGAAGTCTGTAGGCCACATGTCTAAATATTTTAAAATCATAGATCAAGCTATCAAACTGTTAACTAAAATATGTTCTATTCTCCTATCTTGACAAATATACAGGAAAGTTAGGTTCAAATTTATAATTCTCAGATTTACAAATTGTTCCATGCCACTGAAATGTGACAACTTGGAGAGCTTGCCAAGGATCGGGAAGATCCCCTGGAGGAGGGCATGGAAACCCACTCCAGTATTCCAACCTGAGGAATCCTATGAACAGAGGAGCCTGGCGGGCTACATACAGTCCATTGGATCACACAGAGTCGGACACGACTGAGCATGCACACACTCCCCATACTCAATCACTACAGTATACTACCTCCCCGGGTGAAGTGTAATATCCTTAACATGGATTAGCTGCTGTAGACTAAGCTGATATAACAACAAGACCCAAAGCTATAGAGGTTTCAAGAAACATAGCAAGCAGTCCAGATGGAAGACAGATCTCTCCCCCACACCCCTCCAGGGTTGTCCAGACACCCAAGTATCTTCTTAGTGCTCCACCGCCCTTTAGGGGATAGTGTTCAAAGTGTGGTTCCCGTCCAGCAGAATCAGCATCCCCTGGAAACTTGTTAGGAGTGATTCAGACCCAGTGACTCATAATTCCTGGTGATGGGGCCCAGCGATCTGTGTGTTAACAAGCCCTCCAGGTGATTCTG